ATTTTATTTTTTTTAAGTTTACTTACTTTATTTTGAGAGAGAGAGCACACAAGCGGGGGGAGGGGCAGAGGGGGTGGGTAGAGAATCCCAAGTAGGCTCCACACTGTCAGCGCAGAGCCTGACGTGGGGCTCAAACCCACGGACAGGGAGATCATGACCTGAGTGGAAATCAAGAGTCGGATGCTTAACCGACTGAACGACCCTGACACCCCAAAAGTGAAACTTTTAAATATAAACATTTAAAATAGCAGCCTTTTTAAAAAAAATCTGATTTTGCTTTTCTTTACTTTTTAATAAACCAGAAGCTGAGTGGGAGGGGCCAGAGCATCTCTTGTGTAGGGACCCCGCATTCCGGACCAATTTTCATTGGGGTTAATAACAAAGGTCTGGAAAAGAGCAAATGCATGCACTCACTGTGTTTCTTTGCTTTTTTTGAGAAACTCTTTTTAGTCTGTTTGAAAACCCCAGACACGAAATAATATGTTGCTTCTGCCTCTGGAGGGGTAAGTGAACATTTAGTTGAAAAGAATCATGGCATTTTTATTGTAACATACCAAGAAATTTGCTCCTTGAAAATGGACCTCGATGTTATGGGAAAACCTTGCCACAGCCCCTTACTGGGTATGAAGGATCCGTCTTTTCATATTGTTGTTGCTACTTATTTTAGGGATGTTCTATGTGTTTATATGGTAGAATTCATAAAGAAACTTGCATTGGTATGTACTAGCCCTTGACAGAGAAGGCACTCACACTCTGGGCCTGAGTTGAAATTCTGTAAGCTGAGCTTCTTCCCTGCTTTGACAACCTTATAATGAGGCTCGGCTTTAGGACGCTCTAATATAGGGTTACTGTATCTGTAATGAGGAAGCGAACACACTGAAACCTCATATAATTACAGCACCCCATCTACAAAAATGTAACAAAGTTTAACTCACAAACAGAGTAGAAAAGGCAAGTGCAGAAATAAACAGAAGCCAGATTTAGAGGAAATGACTAATTTTATAGCAATGCTTACCTCTGGCACCTGGAGAGATCCAAAGCCAAAAATCCAAGCGCCACGTAATGATTTTCATGCGGGGGAAAGAGATTTTAAACGTGTGAATTAGGACAAAAGTGAAATAGGTTATTCGAGGATACACATAATAATTTGAGGATGGCATCAGTAATGAGCAGAATGACAGCATCTTATTTACATGACAAGTCTACATCGATGTTACTGACAAGAACGGCTATGATTTCATAATGGGATGTTCGTATCTAGAAAAAACTGAAATAGAGCTCTCTTGCACAATATAAAATTCGAGCTGATTTCATATGGCGAATATGCTCCAATCTAACATATACAGAATTCCGTTCACGGGCAGGCTTCTGAAAATTTCATATTATTTATGTGCTTTAGCTCAGTGTTACAGGTTATGCACAGAAAGGGAACATGAGAGGAATCCAAGTATAAGCTGTAGTCGTGTTGCTCTATGATCCATCAGAAAGCAGTGCGGTTTATATTTATTCTTTGGACTGCAGTGCTAATTGAGGACACTGCAAACTATTCTGAACTGACACCACATTATCGTCATATTGATTAAGGATCTCCAAAGATATTACTTCTGCCAATCTCAAGTATGCATGTCTGTTCACCCTTCCAACTCTTCCTTGGCTGGTTTTGACCCGAGATTGGAAACGTTGGCTACTGAGCTTAAACTGAGTAGCCTTTTCACCTTCATAGGAACTAGTATACTTTACAGAAAAAGTTAAATAAAGCATCTAAGAAAATCAATGGGAATTCGGGAACAGAAATGAATAGACAGTCCTCACATACAATAATCAAATCAGTCTTTGCCTCTTGTGTGAGGGAACATGGATTTAGGTACCTTAGAGATGCTGCACGTAAAATCAACTCCTAATTTGCAAACTTATTCTAATGATAAACATTAGTTTACCAAGCATAAGACTCTGTAGTGAGGCCTGAAATAAATATAATCTTTATATCGGAAACAGACTAACTCAGAAGAAACTGTAGGCAATTTCAGAATAATTACTTTCTGAAAGTGGACCATCACAATTAATACTTTTTTTTTTTTTAATTTTTTTTTTCAATGTTTATTTATTTTTGGGACAGAGAGAGACAGAGCATGAACGGGGGAGGGGCAGAGAGAGAGGGAGACACAGAATCGGAAACAGGCTCCAGGCTCTGAGCCATCAGCCCAGAGCCCGACGCGGGGCTCGAACTCACGGACCGCGAGATCGTGACTTGGCTGAAGTCGGACGCTTAACCGACTGCGCCACCCAGGCGCCCCAATTAATACTTTTAAAAAGGCTGCATGTAGGCTTGGTGGGTGAGATAATTAGGCACTAGGAGCTTACCTGGAGGCCCAGGGGGCCCTTGCCTGCCTGGAAAGCCAGGTAAACCCTTCTCCCCAGGAGATCCCGGAAGTCCAGGTGGCCCCTGTAGTCCCGGGAATCCAATTGGTCCTACAAAGAACATAAAAATAGGGGCCTGGAACAGAACAATATCAAGACAATGCAGGTCTGATGGGCCAAACTCAGAGATTCACTTCAGCAAAATTCAGGGCCAATTCGGTCTTAGAATCCAGGCGAGTTTCTCACTTTTTTCTGTAAAGCTGAGAAGAGCTGCCTCCGTCTGAAGGAAACACAACAGTCTATCAAAAGGACTAAGGAAAATGGTTTCACGATCAAGACAAAACTAAAGGAGAAGGAAAAAGCCTGTAATCCTGAACTTTCTCAGCAGACAGTGGACGGGAAGCGCAAACAAGGAAGGGCGCTTGGCCATCTGGGAAAACGTGTCCCCTGGCCTGAGCTCCCACCTCTCTTCTCACAATCTCCCTTTCAGCCCCACCGGCCATTCAGTGCCTCGCATATGCGGTTCCTTCTCTTCCGTGCCCACCAAGGCCTCATTCTGTACAGTGCTCAGCAAGTCTCACTTCCTCGAGAAAGCCATCTCCAGAGCCCCAGCCCAAGTCCCTAGAATTGTGTTTCCTTTACTCAGAGCGCCTGCCTCCATTTATATGGATGACCCTTTAGTGTGAATGTTTATCTTCCCCCATGAAACTCTATGCTGAATAAGAATGGGGACTCTGTTTAAACTTGTTCACTGTTACGTTCCTGTAGGTACCTAATAAATGTTTGTGGGATAGATCAAATACAATAAAACCTTGGATTGCGAATAACTTGTTCTGCGAGTGTTCCACAAGATGAGCAAACATCTCAAATAAATTTTAACTTGATAAACGAGCGATGTCTTGTAATACCAGTGGTAAGTGATGCCGAGCGTCACATGATCCCAGCTGAGCCAATGGTTCTTCTCTCTCTTGCTCACTGTGGGATTGTGGGTGATAGTCTCCCATGCTCAGATGCTCGATCTCAGGCCACAGCATTCAGCAGAAATCAGTGATTTGTCACAATTGGCAATAGTGTATTTTTTGTCACTTCAAAGCACCTCTGGACAGTCCTTTGCTTTTCCATACAAGAGTGAGCTTAGGGATGTTTTGCTTCATTCTAGGTCAGGCTGCCTGCAGAGAGAGACCCTTTCCTCTGCCGCTGTATTGCCAGTTACATTAAATACAGTATAGGATGAGTTTATTAATACTGTACTGTAGTCAATATCTGTGTGAGTGTATACAGTGGACCCCATGCAGAAAAAGGTTCCATAGAGCCAACAGCAGCGATTCTGTTGGTGATAGTGAAAGTCATCCTACACAATAACCCTCCTGTCTCCTGTACCCCTCACACCAGCCACAAAGGTTTTCAAAAGTAAGTGCAGGTTAATTTGTTTACTTTTCTTTTCACTTTGTATTTTCTTTATTATTTTTTGTTATATTACAGTATTGTGATCCCTTTTATATGAATATTTTGGGTTATGGAACGAATCATCTGAGTTTCCATTATTTCTTATGGGGAAATTCACTTTGATATAGAAGTGCTTTGGATTACAAGCATGTTTCCAGAACGAATTATGCTCACAAACCAAGGTTTCACTGTATTTCCCAGTAAGTCTGAAAACATAAACTGAAGAAACTCCCTCCTCTCTTCCACAGTTAAACACTCTTTGGGCCATGTGCCTGCTGGGATGGGAGTTAAGAAGCATGCTTGGGGGGGGCGGTGCCTGGGTGGCTCAGTCAATTGGGCGTCCGACTTCAGCCCAAGTCATGATCTCGTGATTTGTGAGTTCAAGCCCCATATATCGGGCTCTGTGCTGACAGCTCGGAGCCTGGAGCCTGCTTTGGATTCTGTGTCTCCCCCTCTCTCTGTAACCTCCCATGCTCATGCTCTGTCTCTCTCTGTCTCTCAATAATAAACGTTAAAAAAATTTTTTAAGAAGCACACTTAGGGGTCTCATCAATATTTCTAACTCTTTGTATGTCCTTTGGTTACCTCTACTGCATGCTATTTCCCCAATCCTGAAGAATATTTCCAGGTGGAGGTTCATTCTCCAGAGCAGTAAATGGGAAGGAGGCGGGTCTTATTTGGGAAAGGGACAAGGTTGTATAGCTAACCTCCTCCTCCTTTTGGTGACTTGGCTTATAGCATGTTTGTCCAATTCTGGGGTTCAATAACTGGAAGCCCACATACCTGCAGATATAAGCTACATTCTCCCAAATTTATTTTACTGCCAGTAAAGTTGAAGATGCTTGTTGTGTATTGTTGTGCAGGTTGTGCACTGCACCATTACAGGGATGCTATTTGCACTGTAGTCATGTCATTTTGATCCCCTTTTTTCCCTAAACTTTGGCTTTATTTTGCGCTTGGCTCAGACGTTAGGCAGGGTGCCAATTATTGGGAAGATTTTGACAGTTACTTACCTACGACATTAAGGGAGCTCAAATGAGTAACCATTATTGGTCCCTTTCAACAGAAAAGTTCTATGAACTGAATAGTTCTCTGAAATCCTGGTGACCAAAAACTAATATCCTCAAATACTAGCAGTTAGGTAAAAATGAATTAAAACAAATATTTTAGCTTTAAATGGTGGGGGAATTCAGTAATGGAGACTCTTTCAGGACTATAAAAAAGCCAGGTCAGCAGTCTCAAACCAAACTGTCCAGTACAGAAGCCACTAACCACATGTAGCTACTGAGCCCTTGAAATGGACACATCCAAACTAGGCTGTGCTGTAAGTTTAAAACACACACCAGACTTCAAAGGTGAGGGGGAGTGTCTCATCTGGAGAGGAACTAGGTTCGTACACATGGCCCTGGTGGCCGCATGGATAATTTATACCAATGATGATATGCTAAGGTAACATTTGAATATATTAGGTTAAAGAAAATACGAAAGTTCATTTCACTTGTTTCTTTTTACTTCTTAAAATGTGGCTACTACATCTTTTAATTACATGTGTAACTTGCATTATATTTCTTTAAAAAAATATATATATATATACACATAAAAGTTTATTTACTTATTTTGAGAAAGTGAGAGAAAGAGAGGCAGAGAATTCCAAGAAGGTTCTACACTGTCAATGCAGAGCCCAACGTGGGGCTTCAACTCACAAACGGTGAGCTCATGACCTGAGCCGAAATCCAGAGGTGGACACTTAACTGACTGAGCCACCCAGGTGCCTATCCCGTGTTTTATTTCTATTGCTCAGTTCTGGTCTAGCACATTATCAAGTACGTTGTTAGGGGCTGAAGGTGAACTTGTGTTTCTTCTTCTTACTTACCCACATGTCACCCAAACGTTAAGACTCTTTGGGAAAGTCAGGGCATTTTTGAAAATGCAGTCACTATTTCCATAGGAAATGAGAATGACCTCACCGTGGTGCAGAACCCCAGACCCTGAAGGGCAAGATCACAAAAGTCTTCACACACTACTTCAGAAATAACTTGCATTCCTACCTTTCTGGCCATCTTTTCCATCACATCCCGGGAAGCCTTTGCGTCCTGGAGGGCCTGGGGGGCCCGGGGGGCCCGGGGGACCCGGCAGACCCCGGTCTCCTGGTTCCCCTTTCGGAAGGTCAACACTCCCAGGGGGGCCCGGGGGCCCGGGTGCTCCTGACCACAAGGAAGAAACAAAAAGCATCCTTCAGTCAAAGACAAATATGAGTGCTGGCTGCCTGAGAGCTTCTTAAGGAAAGTAACTGAATGCAAGCAAAAGATGGGAAGTGAGGGACCAGAAGAAGAAAAAAAAAAAATGAACAATATCAGAAGTGAAACAGCGAGTGTCCCCTGGAGGTGAAGCTGGGAGATGGTGTAAGTGGCCCGTCAGCAGCCGTTAGACAAATGAACCTACGGAAAGCCTTCCTTCCCTTCCAAGCCATTCCTTCTGGAAGCACGGTTTTATGGCTTTTCTTTGCATGCCATCCCACCGCTTTGATATGACAGGTAGAAGGACAGATGGATGGACAGAAGGACAGATGGGCGAACAGAGAGATGGATGACAGGCTTTTGAGAAAACCTGGCTGATGGAAAAGAAATGTTCACTCAACTACATGTACAATTCTATCTGAAAACAGGTGTCGACGCACAGGAAGTAAGCCCAAATCCTATTCTCCTTAGCTACCTAGAATATTTTGGAGCGTTTTCACTTTTCTCAGGGTAAAATAGAATCACATAATATTTTATCCTGCCCCGACTAAAATCCCAAAGATTTAAAGGTAGTGGGTTGGGTCTCTCTGAAAGAGCTCCGTGAGCTATTAGAAACATGACTGTGTGCACTTTGCAAAACCCCACGGCACCACGCCGTCTCCCCCCACACCCCAGCCGGCTCCGGTCAGCCCCTACTCTGAAATACTGCCTTGCTGGGCTTTGTCCGTGCCAAGGGCTGAGAGGAACAATGTGTTCTGTTAGCAGCACTTGAACAGACTGCTTCTGTGTGTGCCAGGCCTGGGCGTGGTCGTGCTGGCCCATGGCGGTGCACGTGGCAGGTGCTAGAAACCAACAGGCAGAGTGAGATCCCCCCCCCACACCCCCACCAGCCACTTCTGACCCCTTGTGCTCAGCATCCCCCTGGCGCTGGCGATGAGAAGGGTCTGCTGGGAGTCGGTGTCCCCAGACGGAGATGCTTGGTAGAGCTGGACAGAAGACTGAGCTCTGAGCTCTGGCTCTGGGGGTGGTCCTGGCAGCCGGGCACTGCCCACACTCCACCTCTCCCCTCCGCCAGACTGTCGGGGCTGCTGAGGGCCTGCGACTCTGCCATTCTCTGGTCCTATAATCCTCCGGAGCTGGCAGCATCTAAGGAAAGGAGTACCAACATCCTCTGCCAGGATTTTATCATACCTCTTGGACCATCGGGGCCGGGAGGTCCCTGATCGCCGGGGGGACCTGGGTCAGGAATGTCACCTTCAGGAGCTCTTCCTGTGGCACCTGCGGGACCAGGTGATCCAGGTCTCCCTGAGGAGGGACGTGTTCGGAGATCAGCCTTATCACATTTGGAAGGTTTCGACTGAGTTATTGACAGAGGAAAAAGCTTGCTGCTTCTTACCTGGGGGACCGGGGGGACCTTTTTCTCCAGGAAGGCCTGGGGGAGAAATTCCTGGGCTCCCGGGGTCTCCTGTCTCCCCTTTCGGCCCAGGTATGCCCATTGGGCCAGGTGGGCCCACTTCATGCGAGCCTTAACGAGGGAAACAGCATTAGTTCTCCCTGTTTGTTCCTCTTGTGGCTCCTGGAAAAGAACTGCTTCCAAAGGGGGTGACAGGGACACGGCGGGTTGCGCTGAGAACAGCCGCCTGCCCAGTGGTGACCCGAAAGGCTGCGGACTCCCCCTGGGTCGCCATGTGCCCTCTTGCGCCCTATCACACGGTCAGGCACAGGTTGGGTTTATTTTAGGGTTATTTCCCAGACTAAAAACAACAACAACAATACAACAGCTGATCAACGCTCCAATGAGTTCCAGCAATAAGTCACTATGAACAAACTGGTTTGAAATTTAAGGTGGAAATTCACATATAAATGGAAGCATCATGGAACTTCCCACGGAAAAGGGGGAAGGAACATCACTGGTTTCTTGGGGGAGGCACACATATAATCAGACTATTTGGAAGAGCCCCTAAAATGAATCCTACGTGACTGACCTACATTAATTCTTGACCTTCTGGACTGTACAAAGATTCTGTCTCTCTTCAGCAACGGGGCCCGACCTAGGAGCACAACAACCCAACTCTCCACCGGAGACCCTCAGACCTCCGTGTCTGATTCCAGCTGCCTTGTCTGATCACGAGCTTAGTTTCCTGAGACACTAAAGCGGCAAACGGGCCCTCTATTCAAACGCCAGAACAAATCTCAAATGCGGCTGTTAATGATGAGCCTATTCGTGATAACAAAAATACCAGCAATTTGCTCAGGTAATTTGTTTTAGCAGCAGCCTGTGGAGGGGTGCTAAAACTAGTAATTAGGCCCACGGGGTCGTACTTGGCATCGCAACACTTAAAACAAGACCACAACAAGACCTCCCAACCATTTCTTTGTTGTCACATTTTGAAATCTGGCCCCACCTAAGCAATTGCTCAGAGTATTTTTAGCAGGGAGAAAGCCCCAAGTAACATCAACAGAAGTCACTGTTAACCAGCCACTCCTTCTTAAATTGGGTTTTCTCAAAGGTCCTTCTTATGTAAGTCCATCTTCAGTCCGAGAAATAGTTCAATAGTGTGCCTCTGAGCTAAGCCAGTTTCTTAGTTTCTCGCCCCAAGTTGTGTGCGGTAAAGGCACGCCAGCGGTATCTCGCGGTCTCCTGACTGCAGTTTAATCGCTCACAAAGGGTTTTCTCTTACCTGAAGCGCCTTTGGCTCCTTTCTGACCCTTTAAACCATGTAAGCCGTTCAGACCGGGTGACCCGGAGGGACCTGAAACACATCACGGGCCTGTGATCCACTGGGGAAGATGGGATGTTGAAGTCCACCGGTCACCCAGCACAGGCACCACCCAGGGGAGATGATTCACTGACAGCAGCCCGACAGCTTCTCCAGGAGGGAGCCATGAGATCCTACCGTCTAGATGTCATTATCAAGGCTAAGTCCGTGCCAGTGGTCATTACTTAACACATTCATCTGATGGATACTTTCTGCAAGGCAGCTTAACGCATTTCTTTGGTTTTAACACACTGCTCTTGGTCTCTGACCATATCATGGATGTCTCTCTCTATCCAGATATAGTCTAGAATTACTGACTGTTAGTGCAGCAAGGGACCTTAGATTCTATGACAATGAACTCATCCTAGAACAGAGAAAAGAGATTGGAATGGAGCAAACCGAGACCTCCTTCCTCCCAGGCTCAGGATCTGTCCACTCCATCACAGTGTGTGGATACTAATTTCTTTGGGATGTAGTCAGGTAAAGATAGTAAGACAGTAAGGACAGGTGGGGCCTGTGGCATACTGGGGAATACATGACACATTTAACTTTTCTTTAAGCACCGTACTACTCAGAAAGAAGAGGCCTACAGGTCAAGTTTGTTGATGCTATTTCTTTGCAGCTACTTCTTTCAAAAAGAACCACTCTGATGCCTCTTTACTGAAACTAAATTTATTTCATAACAATCAATGAAAACTCCAGTGTCCGTAATTAGGTATGATCTCATCGATGTCTGCATCTCTAGAACCTTCTGCCAGGCATCAGTATAGTCCTCTAAGGAGACATCTACCAACCTGACTTTACTTAAGTTGTCATTGAACACTGAACACCTATAAATCTAAAGACTTACAAATATATCACTATTTAAAATATGTATTTACAAATATACAACTATTTAAAATACATATAATACATTTATATAATATATAGTATACTTGTACTTATACAGTACAAGTATACAGATTTATAGGGACGGAGTAGAGAAAGAAAACAAGGGACGGACGGAGGGAAGGAGGGAGAGAGGAAGGGGAAAAAGGCAGACAACTGATATGTACAGAATGTTTCCCCGGGAGCTGAGCCCTCCACCACATGATTCATACATGTCTTGTCTTACTGACTGATTTGGAGGAAAGAATCTTCTCCTCAGCCCCTGTCCAAACCTTGTGACCTTCCAAATTCATTGGTGGATCTTCATCCAAGGCTGAGAGCCAGCCAGCCATTCCTTGTTTAGGGCCACGTCCCTCTCATTTACAATAGTGACACCCTAGCACACAGAAGGTGCCCCTCGCCTACCCCACGACACCTACACAGAGCTCTCTTGATGCCCGTGTCCCGGTGCCTGCCCCACGCTGTGCAACAAGCGTGTCTTTGGGTGAGTGGGTTACTTTGGGTAAACTAAGTACAAGATCGGGTCTTCTTAGTCTTCCCAAGCCCCCACTTGGCACGTCTCCTGACACGCAGTTGGTGTTCAGCAGGTGTTTGTTGAATGAGTGAGTGGATGCATGAATGAATGAGTGAATGAGAAAATGTGCAATAGGGAGGGCCAGCGAATGGGTGGAAAGAAAGCTGCAGGAAGGAGGGAGTCCAACTTCTCTTTGCATGTTACACGTTCTTTGATAGATTTATGGGAGGAATAAGAGTTGGTGAAGTTACAGGCATCCATTTGTGTATAAATAATTTATCTGCTAATTATTATCTCTTCATTAATATGCAAGTCCTCTGTGGGCTTCTTATTTAAAGATGGAACACTTAGCTGGTTCCATTCGATTTATTATCTGTACTTGAAATGGACACTTAGTCTATTTTTAAACTCTAAACTTCAGATCAGTGCAAATGAGCTGTATTCTCTCACACCAAAAAAAAAAGGGGGGGGGGACGCACCCTTATTTTTCCTAAAGCTCTTATTTCCTAACCACTTTTAACAGCTCTGGCTGAGTTTATTTTTCAATCCTTTTTCCTATTAATGAGCCAACGTTTCAAGTTTGCACCAAAAGAACACACAGACCTTCATCTGCCAGATCTGGATATTTATTGCCATCTATCTGAAATGATAATAGATTTTTTGAGAACACTTTGCTATTTCAATGTGTTTTGATCTCCAGCTTAAGCCACCAAGATTGATGGCTTGGGGGACTTCGCTGGGGTGGAATGTCTCAGCTTCTGCCAACTCTGCATTGTCCCATCAACGCGTCCAGATCCCGGGCTGTCACAGGCCCAGCCCCTCACCATTGTTGAACTGGCCGACCCTTATCTGACCCAATGTTATCTTTCTAAATTGAATGCAGCTACATCTGGGTAGGATTTTAAGGACAATTTTTCCTTTTTACTGAAAGCTTTTTATCAATCCCATCTCTAAATCAGAAAGTTGTTCATGCATAAAATATATACAGCGCAGATGAGAGGCAATTAGGCTAACAAAGCACATTCCTTGGTAATGAGGATTTTTTTATTCACCTCTCTGGCCATCCTCTGGCTTACCAACCATCATTTAAGGCTGCATCTCGCTGCACTCACGGGCCGGGGCACTCTACCCCCACTCAGAGAATCGAACCTTCTGCTCCAGCCCTCATGGGAATCACAGCCTCCATCCGGGTTAGCCAGCCCACTCTGAGACTGGTTTTCCACTGGGGTTTTCTTTTGTTCTAAAGTCTGAAAATGCTACTCTATCCCCAGTAGCCTTTATACAGGTTTATACTTTTAATGGGATGACTGCCTCATCCCTGTTTGTGAGGGATTTTCCCGAGGCACCCCTCGGTCCCAGGCAAACCGGGACAGCTGGTCACCCAAAGGTGAAAGCCGATGGGAAAGAGACCTACGTAACTACAGGTTAATGGCCGAACGAAGTTGAAAGCTTATCAAAACAGATTGTGAATTTATTTGTAATCCAGAAAATACGGGAGTGCTTACTAAGGACAAGCACCGGAGCATAAAGACATGGTCTCCTAACCCCTGGAGCTTCAGTCCCCAAATGTACTTAGTGACAGCTGCTGACAAGACAGCGCAGAGCAAGAGAGAAACAATCCCTGACCCGATAGAACAAATGGGCAATTACATCGAGAGTGATAAGTGCTGTGTGGGTGCAGGGCCGGAAGGGACGCTCCCTTCGGTGTAGAAGCAGGAGAACATTTCCATGATTTTCTCGGCTGTGAGATGCATGGCATTTCTTTCTGGGTACAAGACATTTCGAGGTGCCTTTTCTCTGACGTGACAGCGTGCTTGCCACCAGCCAAAATAACCCACGGCACCTCTTTACACTTGTCATGGTGCAAACAGCTGTCTTTAGGTTTTCGTTATCGCGATCTCAGAACGCCCAACGAGGAGCTGAGTGTCTTCCTTTCAAAAGAGGGCAAATGGTATCCAGCCATTTTTAGCAGATGTTTAAGTTCAAGTTTAAATCTGACTGAACTCAAGCAGGACTGGGAATCCATGTGGCCAGTTCCAGCAGGGCAAACAACTTTGAGTTCAACAGCTGGTTTGTTCAAACAAGATAATCAGTCCCCTTGACTTATTTAGAACATACTTCAAATATTTAGTTTCTCAGATCAAAGTGTTTCTGCTGGAGCGCGGTTCATTTTTATATCAGCAGGATAAACGGCAACAATGGATTTATGTTGTGGCCGTTTTAATTTTTAGGAATGTAGCGCACGGTTTTGTTTTGTTGTTTTAAAGCCCGGTCGTTTGTTGGGCTGTTTGCAGCGAAACAGTGTCACTGCATGGTCAGGAAGCACCATTGCAACATCCGTCTGTATCGTTCTGATGGGTACTCGGGCTGACATGTTCATTTTCTCCCCTTCTCCCAACAAACTCATTATTTCATACCACGGAACTATGATGTCAGGGGAGACTGAATTTTCGAGTAAGTCTGTTCCTCAGTCAACGTCATTAGCTACTGGTATTTTAATAACCTACCATCGTGAAATGATGTGATAAACGCAAACTAAATCGAGAGACAGACAAACCCACAATAGTGACATGAGCCTGGTCACTTCAGTCAAACTGAGTGTATATTGTTTTCAAACCAAGAGGTTTGAAAATCCTTGCTATTTTTATTAAACTAGGAGGGTGAGAAGAAAGGGAAATGCAGTAGGAGTGGTTAATAATGGAAATAAATGAAAAAAAAATTTTTTAACCGATTTCATCTTCCAACACTCAAAACAGTTGTCCAAGAACACCCCACCAGGGTAACAGGGATTTCCAGGGACAGCAAATGGCCACAATCACTAGATAAACTTTTAACATAAAAAATGATCACTTGGTGGGGGTGCCTGGGTGGCTCAGTCAGTTAAGCATCCAACTCTTGACTTTGGCTCAGGCCATGAGCTCACAGTTTGTGAGCTCAAGCCCTGCGTTGGGCTCTGCATTGACAGTGTGGAGCGTGCTCGGGATCCTCTCTCTCCTTCTCTCTCTGCCCCTCCCACACACGGTCTTTCTCCCTTTCTCAAAATAAAGAGAAACTTTGAAAGAAGTGATCATTTTGCCTGAGACCCTAAATTTATCACAAATCACCGCACTTCACATTCAGTGCCAGTGAAGAGGGAGAAGAACGATGCAAAGACATCTTGTTCAGTGATGGGAAGCAGAAGCCAAATATTTGGCCACATGGAAATACCTAAGTGTACCAACTCTCCAAAATAAAGGGTTCCCTTCTCTGCAGAGTTGTTCCAAGTACTTGCTGGAAAACAGGAATTATCTGAAAACTACTCGATGAGGGAAGAGATGAAAGTGTGGAAAGTTTTCATTTGGATTTTCAAAACAACAAGGCAACTAAGAACCCAAAGGAGGGGTTTCCAACTCTTCTGCGAGGAAGTAATTTTCATTTGACCGGAGTTTAGTACATGGATGAGTCACCTAGCAGAAGGAAACTGAGAAGAAAGGGGAGGGGAGCTTGATTACAGGAATCCACCAACCAGGGCTTGAGCCTTCATCAGCTTATTCAAGTGAAGACCCTCATCTTCATCACTACTAGTTCAGTTGTTCATTCTCGATTTGTCCATGCCTCTATTTCTTAATTTGCTCACAAATTTAAAAAATATAGGGGCACCTGGGTGGCTCCGTCGGTTAAGCGTCCGACTTCGGCTCAGGTCATGATCTCGCAGTCTGTGAGTTCGAGCCCCGCGTCGCGCTCTGTGCTGACAGCTCGGAGCCTGGAGCCTGCCTCGGATTCTGTGTCTCCCTCTCTCTCTGCCCCTCCCCCGCTCACACTCTGTCTCCCTCTCAAAAATAAACATCAAAAAATTAAAAAAAAATATTTACAGTAGCCCTCCAAAAAACTTACTGGGTATCCACTGGATGCCAAGGATATAAAATCACCTTCTACTTGGTAAGAAAGACTTCTCAACAATATACAATATAGGTGCTGTGCTAGAAGTATACACAAAGTGGCCATGGAAAGCTTTTTTTCTCTAAAATGGAAGAAATGGATGAAAGAAGAATAAGTAGTACCATGGAGGGATGGAGGGGCATGAAGATTTGTTAATAACAAATAAATATGGCAGGTGATATGCTATATGATATTACTGTAACCACACTTATAGCCAGTGCACTATTACCCATAAAGACCAAAAATGCAACCAGGAAAAAAATGTTTCTTTATCTAACAAAGTTCACGAATACGAGTAACTTTCTCCATGGCATTTTATTCTTTTCCTTCCACTTAACACAATTGGTAAATATATATTTATTTACGTATATGTTTTTAAGATGTCTCCCTTGCTACATCCACTGTGAGCTCCATGAAGTCAGTGACCATGTCTATTTTCCTCAAAATTGTGTGCCTAGCGTCTAACGCACAATCTAGAACGTAACAGACACCTCACTATCTAAGGGAAGAACAAATGAAGAGGCCTGAACTCTACAGGAAACACTGGGGGGAATGCCCTAAAAAAATGGCAGCACCACCATTTTGGTAGAAGGCAGGTCAAGACACTAGATGGCACGGCCTGAAGCTGTGAGGGAGGGAGAAGAAGGTGCTAACGGGCATCTGTGGGAAAGGGGAGGGAGCCATGAGCCAGATCAGTGTCACTCAGGGCAGGAAAAGCACCGCAATTTGCCCTCATGGGGGGGGGGGGACTTCCTTTTTACCTTTTATTCCCGGAAGACCTGGTGTCCCCGGGTCCCCCATCATGCCTCTTGGCCCAGGATCCCCCATGTCTCCTGGATGTCCCTTCAGCCCAGGTACTCCTGGATCACCTGAGGATAAGAAGGAGGTTCTGCAGACACCCAGTTGATATATGAGTTACCTTAATGGGGAAGGTAGGTCATCTGTATTCTTAATACATGGGAACATTGTCTTTTTTTTTAATTTTTTTCAATTTTTTTGTCCTAGACCTCCTAACTCTAGAGAGAAAAAAATATACTTAGCCTCAGATGGAGCAAATACACTTTGGAGTGATTAAAGTTGCCAACTGCAATTTCAAACTTTCATTATATTCTGAATGTGTGACATTTGCCTTAAGTCTAAAGGAGAAAAGAAAACCAGCATCTGAATGGCAGGTAGATTAAGGAAGGATGGAAAGGGGCTTTTATCTGTCAGCCCATCACTTTGTACCTGGATCCTTGCCAGGCTCTTAACAGGTGTTGTCTTCGTTTACTTCCAGACCAACCCAATGAGACTGGACTAGCTCAAACTTACAAGACAGGAATGGGTAAGTTTCAGTCATCTGTCCAAAGTCACAGGTCTGGGAAATGGCAGAGTCACATCTGAAACTAGGTCTAAGTGAAAGCTGGCCTCTTCCGTTACACCAGAAGATAGATGAGTGCCCGGAAATTTCCAGGCTCCTTTCAAGGTACCTGGACAGCCTGGTGGTCCGGAGGAGCCAGGTAGTCCTGGCCTTCCAGGTGGTCCTCTGGGCCCTTGAACACCCGGCAAGCCCCACTCTCCAGGTGCTCCAAGATGTCCTACAGAAAGAAAGATCAAACACCTGAATAATTGGACACTGGTCTTTGAGGTGGTGAATCTATAATTATCTCCAACTACAGCCCCTGCCATCCTTTTCTATTATTACTTGTTTATATTTATAATTTCTCTATTGAAAAGATATCATTAAGGAAAAAATGAAAACACTTCGAATCCTCCCACCTTAATACAATTTTTCATATGTGTAACAATGTGCAAATAAGGCCCACGATGTTATATTTTGATGTTTTAAATTAGCATCGTATTATAAGCAATGGCCAAGTTTGCCATTATTTTTCTAATTACTGTTTTTAAATGACTAGCTGATAGCTTAGGGAGTTAACCTTAATTAATCTAATTTTCTCTTACTATTGGCCACTCAAGGTATTTCTCTTTGCTGTTATGCATAATGATCTTTACACATTTTTAATCGATTTTTGTCGTATCAAATCATTTCCTTAGGAAAAATTCCTAGGAGTAGAACATTTCTAGGTAACATTATATGATATTTTGGGGTTTTAAAAATGCATTAAAATGCTGAACTATTTCAAAGTAAATGACAGACATCAAGGAATTCCATTCCTAAATACTTTAAGAGGCATGCCTGAAAAAAAAAACACCATTCTCCTACATGGCCAGAATAACATCATCACAGCCAAGAAACTTCAGAACAACCGTTAACATCATCTAGTACTCCTTCCATACTTGAATTGCCCCAAGTGTGCCCTTAATTGTCCTTTACAGCTCGTGTGTCATCACTGGGTCCCATTCCAGAACCACACGTTGCTTCTGGTGGCTCCTTCCCTTAAGTTAAAGAAAAAAATCTACTAGAGTCTCTTTCTCGGGACAGAGACTTGCTGAAGAGAACATTTCGCGTTGCCTTTTTGGTCTTTTAGAAGAGACCATTCTGTTCTTGACAGAGGCTGTTAAATGGTTTATTTAACAGTTCAGGGCCGCACCTCTCACACCACCCCGTGTAACCCCCCGAGATCTCGTGTGCTCCCTGAGGACCTGATGGTTTGTTGGCTCCTTTTCCTGCTAATTCAGTCAAAGGAAATAATATCTCACATTTACTTTAATTATATTTATTTGATTACTAGGGAAGATGACTATTTCCACACGTGCTTATGTATATTGTATCACTTTAATACAATTTAGACGTCTAGGATAAGCCGATAGTCTGTGCTGAAATCAGCCAGTTGAATCAACAAATAGGTGTAGAGTTCTGTGTTTACAAACCCATGGTGGGGCATAGTCCTTATTTATTACAACACACATGAAACAAGCCTGTGTTAATCGATACCTGTTCCCTGATCAAATTTAAGATCTATGGGCCTCACTGTGTGTTATTTTGTTTACCCTGAAAACATTCTTGCAGGAAAGGGAAGGTGGTATTATTCTCTTCTCCAAATGAAAAAAATTAAGGGTTGCCTCTCCAGTCACACCTGTATTAAGAACAGGACTCCTGAGTTAATTTATGCTGTGTTTTCTCTCTGAATGGAAAGGGGGAAGTGAAACTGAACCCAGTACGCTCAGGTAAAATCCCCTGAGACAGATGTGAGCTGTATGCCTTCTCACTGGACTCGATCAAATTCAACCCATGCAGCTTTTTTCCAGTCAATGGAAATTGTGTATTTAGGTAAACTCTGTGCCAGTGAATAAACATATGATGTAATTTAGAAATTTTAGGCTACAGTTATGGTGTATGAGAAAAAGAACAATTTAAATGGTGAACACCACAGGACACCAGGGAAATTACACTAAGGAAAACTTTCTTTAAAAGGTCAGCCTGGGGTGCCTGGGCGGCTCAGTCGGTTAAGTGTCCGGCTCTTGACGGCTCAGGTCACAATCTCACGGTTTGCTGAGTTTGAGCCCCACATCGGGCTCTGCACCGGCAGCATGGAGCCTGCTCGGGATTCTCTTTCTCCCTCTCTCTGCACCTCCCTTGCTCATGCTCTCATTCTCTCTCTCTCTCTCAAAAGAAATGAATTTAAAAAAAATTTTTAAAAAAGCTAGCCTCAGTGTAAAATAACTCAGATTGATAAATTTTACCTTAAAATATTAGGTAATATTAAAAGCCTCCAGTTGGAAACTAGTTTCAGCTTATAAAATCTTACTATCTTCATGGTTTACATGAAAATACCAGTAAATGTGGAATTTTCAGTTAACAAACTGCTTTCAAGGAATCTTATTTGATCCTCAAAACAATCCTATAATTATGCCAGTTTATAAGTAAGAAACTGAGCTCACAAATGATGAGCAACTTATTCAAGATCCCATGGACGGTAATGATGGAGGCTGACTTTGAACCACTGGCTTTCCTTCTTTAGGCTTCTCCCTCTGGTATTTATTAGGAACCTCCATGATGTTAAGCTCCCCTCAAATGTACATTTAAGATGTACATTTTGGTTAAACTATTATGTTATCTAAATCTATTTGACCAGGTCAGAGGTAAAAGATGGATATGAAAGACAGTGGAAAGTTCTTGCCATTATAATAGCTTGTTTTTCTGTTAGAACTCCATTTTTAGCAATCTTGTGGTATAAAAACAAAACAAAACGAAATTCTGATAAAACTTCTGCTCAGATATTCCTTCTGGTGTAGGTAATGAAACATGACTGTTGTCAAAGAGAATTTTAAGATAAAACACAAAACTAGTGATATGAGATATTTTAATTTACAAGGGAGCCATCTAAAAACAAACCTATTTCTAACCTGCCCATTACTGGCTGAATGGGATTCTGCACACTTCTTTAACCAATCGTTTGTGGATGACATTTGCTCCTTCCATGCAATGCATGCCTCTGTGTGTGCATCTTTGTACACTTGCCTGATAATCGAATTTAGATAAATTCCTACAAGTAAAATCACTAAGTTAAAAGGCATGTATATTTCATCAACGGTGGGTCAGGTACTGAAGCAAGCCTAAGCCTCGAGGGGAGGGCAAGAACTCACAGGTACATCCCAATCCATTCTGAGGGACTACATGTCAATTGTCAAAATACTATTTTGAACAATTTAGATTCATTGCTGGTGATGAAGTTTAATTTTTTTTTTTTTGGTTTGGTTTTTAGCAAATGACATATTTGGTAAACGAGATATTCGATGAGATCTCAACAATGGCACTCCCCGCTGGCATTCACATATGATTTTCTGAGTAAGAAAGAAAGGGCTGGAATGACAACCTGAAGCTGTGGGCAGTGGGAGTGGTTATTGCTAATGTATCATTTATAATTCTAGAGATTGGGACATGGTCTGGCTTTTAATTGCTTGCAATAATCACTTTTGACCAAAATGTCAAAATCTGGGCATGCCAAGGGGAGTGGATTGTTATGTCAACCTCATAGGTCATGGGGGCCATGGTGGAAAAAGACTGAGAACCCCTGGTGTATAATCTGATGTCCTTCTAGGCCAACGATGCGGTGGCAGTGTTGAGACATAATCCTTCTGAGATGTATCTTAACGGGCAAAGGGGGAAGAAAATACTGATATAATCATTGCTGGGTAGGAGTATAAAGTAATCAATTTCTCAAACCAAATTTATTTTTTTTTGTTTTAATAAGAAAAAATACGTAGCTATACCTGGACATCCAGGGCTACCTGGTTCTCCCTCGGGACCAGGTGGGCCAAACTGACTAGCAGGGTCCCCTTTGTTTCCTGTAAGTGATAAAATGCACATAATATTACTTATGAGAATTTAATTTTGTTTCATACAAGTGACTTAATAATGGTCATATTTATCTTTAGAGTTTATCTTCAAATGTTCCAGAGGAATTTTTGGAAAAATAGGGGGTTTTCCTATATAAGAACAATTGGAAACACAGTTGCAAGATGTGATTTACACACACACACACGCGCACACACACACACACACACACACACACATTTTTATAGTTCATAACAATCATAAGAAGCTATAGATATTAATGTTTGAATTTTTAAATTCCCTAAAATAGTTTCAAATTTAGGTATCTAAGAAATTACTTGGCATTGAGTGACTATATTTTTATATTGTGCTTTAGAAACCAAAAGCAGAAACTGCCCTTGTTTTTACTGATGCAATCACATGTCAAGCTCATAAGGAAGCTCAACTCGACGTCCTTGTAAAAACAAAATTACAGGGGTGCCTGGGAGGCTCAGCTGGTTAAGCACCTGACTCTTGGTTTCGGCTCAGGTCATGATCTCATGGCTCGTGGGTTTGAGACCCACATCAGGCTCTGCGCTGACAGCATGGAGCTAGCTTAGGATTCTCTCTCTTCCTCTCCCCCTCCCCCTCCCCCACTCATGTTCTACCTTTCTCTGTCTCTCTCTCTAAAAGTAAACTTAAAAAAAATTACAAAGGCACATTTTATTGATAACTTCACAAGAGACCACACATTCAAAGGCCACTCCAGGCAATGGCTCCCACTGTACCACGGAGCTGTCCCACATCATTGCTGAATCCTTCCCAATACAGGACTTACAGCTGGGAGCTGGTTATAAATGGGGACTCAAAATAGTTGGGATCGGGAAGGGCAAGACAATAGATTCAGTTATAAGAGAGAATAAGAGAGTTAATCAGGCATGATTTATAGTTCCCACTCACACCCCTTTCTAAGGGGTACCAACCACATCTTGTGGAAATTTCTCTTCCACCTGACCTTACTTCTAATTGTGGCTGATCGCTTGAGGGGTAGGAATCTGGTCTATCCCAGGTCAGTCAGTCTTTCCTTGAGAAGCTGGAGTACAAACTGAGAATTTGAGGTCCTTGGTTACTGAGGCAGCAACCAAAAGGATTATCATGATGTAGTTATCATGATGCTTTGATGTACAGAGTGAGTGTTTGCAATCCAAACATATCCAGAAAGTCCAAGTATCTTGAATAGAGAATGATGAAACCACCTGGCAGATAAGTAAGAACCAGCCGAGGGGTGCATGGGTGACTCAGTCGCGTAAGCGTCTGACTCTTGATTTCAGCTCAGGTCATGATCTCATGGTTTGTGAGACTGAGCCCCTCATCAGGCTCTGTGCTGACAGTGCAGAGCCTGCTTGAGATTCTTTCTCTCTTTCTCTCTGCCTCTCCTCTACTCGCGCTCTCTGTCTCAAAAATAAATAAACATTTATAAAAAAAGAAAGATAGAAAAAGAAACAGCCCATAAAGAAAAGCGCAAAAGTCTCAAAAGAGAAACCATGGGTTGCCTAAAGTATGGGTTTCATTCATTACCCTTATATGGGCTTCATGAGAGACCTTTGACTCCAGGTACCATGCATGCATTTCGGTTCCTTGCAAACATGGCCAAAAGCAAGTATGAAGAAAATAACAAGTAAGTTTGTATTTTGAGAGGGGTGAGGGGACTATAATAAATGCATAGGTAAGCAGAAGAAAAGTGAGTTTTAAACCATGAAGCTATAAAGTGTCAACTCAAATATGAAAACTTCTCTACTTGTAACTATTTCTGAAGAAGATATCTAGGTTATTCCTTCTGGATAAATAAGTGTGCACACTTCTTTTTTTCCTATAGCAATTATCCTATTATTTACGGAGTCTCTCAACATGCACAACATGTCTCATGGGTGGTAAGGGAGATTCTTAGTGCTTCATTATGCTTTAATATTTTATTTTACTTTTTTAAAGATTATATTTTTCAGTAATCTCTGAACACCCAACATGGGGCTTGAACTCACAACCCCAAGATCAAGAGTCACATGCTCTTCCGACTGAGCCAGCCAGGTACGCCTACTCTTTTATATTTTAAAGTTATTCATTTTAATCTGTGATAAAGTAACATATAACTGCTTACTGAACGTGTGAATTCACAGATAGTGAAGTTAAGGTTAAGGTTAAGAAGGTAAATCATAATTAAGAGTCAAAGAAAAATGTTAACCCAATGGTATGCAAGGATAGTTACAATGTTAAAGATTTTACACAAACATCGCAATTTAAGATACCCTGATTTTTGTTTGCTTGTGTGTCTGAATAAAGGGTTAATGAAACCTTTCTTTCTCTAAGAACGTTAGAAGAAAATTTTTTTTATGTGTACTTATTTTGGAGAGAAAGAGAGAGAGAACAAGCAGGGGAGGGGCAGAGAGAGATGGAAACACAGAATCTGAAGCAGGCCCCAGGCTCTGAGCTGTCAGCACTTGCAGGGCTTGAACTCAAAAACCATGAGATCATGACCTGAGCTGAAATTGGACACTTAACCGACTGAGCCACCCAGGCACCCCTCTCTAAGAACATTTTTAACCACAGCTAACTTTGTTTCTGTTTCCCTGGAAATCTGATGAAGGTAGAATGTCAGTTGTGTTATGAGACAACATGGTTATGGTACAAGTTAAACCAAGGCCTATGGGGCCAAATCTAACCTGTGGCTTGTTGTAAATACATTTTTACTGGAACACAGCCACACCTCTTGTTTGCATATTGTCTGGCTGTTTTCATGCTATAGGTGTTCTCATGCACAGCTGAGTAGTTTTAACAGGGAACATATCGCTGAAAATATCTGTGGTCTGACCCCTTGAAAAAGCACACTTGCTGACCCCTGGCTTACGGTAAACATGACCCAACTATGAGTTATATGTCGCCCAGAAATTCTTAAGTGAAATATTAACACCTGGTAGGAAGTCATGGCCTTGGCCTTCTCTGTGCACTGTGACTCTTGTCTCAGTACCCTAAAAGTCGTATCTATGGAGTCCTTAGAAGAGATATTGGGTCTTATGGTACAGAAGGCTTATAAGCCAAGGTGGACCCTGCCCACCAACGTGGATCTGGTCTTTATGCACCTGAGCTGTCATTTACGCAGCTGCAATCACTACAAAGACCACTGAACGACCCCCACTGAAGAGAAAGACCTGTGTGCTCTACAGGCATACTGTTCTCTCTCCGGTACCCTTGGATCTGAATGACAAATGTGGATGATTTGTGTTTCGTGTGCTTGACTATCTAGCAGTCTAAAAAGAACCGCTAGGTTAGTGTCTAAAATTTATAAAGAACTTATATAACCCAAAACTCCCCAAAATGAAAAATCCAATTAAAAAATGGGCAGAAGACATGAATAGACCTTGTTCCAAAGAAGACCTCCAGAGGGCCAACAGATACATGAAAAGATGCTCAACATCACTTATCACCAGGGAAATGAAATTCAAAACTTCAATGAGCTATCACCTCACTCCTGTCAGAATGGCTACCATTAACAACACAAGAAACAACAGGTGTTGGAGAGTATGCAGAGAAAGGGGAAGTCTCTCGCACTGTTGGTGGGAAGGCAAACTGTTGCAGCCACTGTGGAAAACAGTATGGAGGTTCCTCGAAAAGTTAAAAATTGAACTACCCTACGACTCAGTAATCATACTACTAGGTATTTACCCAAAGAATACAAAAATACCAGTTCGAAAGGATACGTGCACCCCAATATTTATAGCAGCACTATCCACAATAACCAAATTATGGAAACAGTCCAAGCATTCATCATTTGATGTATGGATAAAGAAGATGTGGGGTGTGTGTGTTGTGTATATACATATAAATATACATATACTTATATTTATATTTATGAAATGGTATATTATATTACTCAGCCATCAGAAAGAATGAAATATTGCCATCTGCAACAATTGGATGGAGCTCGAGAACATTATGCTAAGAGAAATAAGTCAGAGAAAGATAAGTACCATATGATTTCATGCATATGTGGAATTTAAGAAACAAATGAGCAAAAGGACAAAAAAGAGCTGGAATTTAAATAAAAATTTAAAAAAATAATCAAAAGAAGCCCTTGGATGTTGCAGTTTGTTTGACGGATTTAACTTTTCATTTGTGCCAAATGTGCATGCCCATGGTGTTATGAACACCCGGGACCATAAGCCTGGTGGACGGCTGCTGTATTTCCGGAGCGTACCTTTAGGGCCTCTCAGTCCATCGCTTCCTGAAATTCCAGGGGACCCTGGAGAACCTGGTTCACCCTGAGAGTTTAAAACAAAAGACCTTGTTTGGTTTCACATACAAATGGCACATTTACAACATGATCCCGTTATAATCTTCCATAACCATTGTCCATATATTTGCAGCGGTAAAGACAATTGGAAATGCATTACAGGCAATGCTACTCCATGTGCCTAGCTTTTAAAAGTTGCTAAAAGCCCAGAATTGGAGGTACCAACGGGTAGCGTCCAATTCTCTATTCCTGACTGCATAACAGTAATTGCATCACATGACTTGAATTTTAAGTTTTGAATGAGCAAACTGATACCAAATAAAACATTGTTAGAAGACATTTTTTTTTCTTTTACCAAAAACTTTTAAAAAATCTATTTGATTCCAAATGATGGGTAGCAAATTATATACATCTTCTGGAAGTTATGATGTAGGCTCCTACATGTTAGGTACCTCCTGGCTTCCCAAGGGAGTATTTCACTCATGGTTATGAAGACCAAATGTATTTACAGAAAAATCTATGATATCTGCAACTCTATAGGAAGGCTTAGAAACCAGAATTTGGGTTATATTTCAGATGATTCTTGACTCCGATAAACCATCAGTCATGAGATAAATTTCGGTAGAGCTGTTGAAACTAGGCTGGGGGTACAGTACGTGGAGTAAGTGACCGGGTCATCTGTTACGAGAAACAGGCATGAACACTGGCCAAAAACTGTAATTACCTCATACCCTGCCAGAAGGCTCCATCCTTCCTTTGGCATATCCCTTCTATTCTAAAACCCGGTAAAACGACAATGATATATACTGGCAAATTATGACTCCTTATCGGCATCCCGAGAGCAAAAGGGTTTTATTATTTCTTTCCTCCCCAACAGCAGCCACTTACCTGGTCACCTGGAAATCCTGGAAAACCAATAATGCCTCTCAGCCCGGGTGAGCCTGGAGGGCCTGGGGCTCCAGGGAGCCCCGGGTGCCCAGTTCTCCCAGGCTCCCCTCTGTGAAATCCAGGTGGTCCGTATCTTCCCGGCTCTCCTCTCCTCCCCTGCATCCCCGGATTGCCTTTATCACCTGATGGGGTGGGAAGTGTTAACAAACCTCTTTGAGGAAATCCCGGGCTGGGCAATAGTTAGGCTTGAGGGTGTGGGTCCTACACTTAGGAGATGGAGCCAAGGGTTTTGGAAATCCGAATTCCTGCCCTCAGCCACATCGTGATGGTTTTTGGCTTCAGTGGAAGAAGCGTCTGCGAAGAGAGCTGGGGACACCTGAGGTAGGAATGGGCATGCAGGGTCGTTCGCTTTCACACCCTCATTTTACAAATGAGGAAGAACCTCGGACCAGTTAAAAGACATTCGCCCCCTAACAACTAGCTCAGGAGAGAGCCAAGACAAGAGCCGGGCTTCGTGCAGACTAAATCTGAACTTGGGAAAGAGAACACAAATGTGGTGGTCAAAATCCTTGCCACACAGTGTTTCTGAGGGGCAGCAGCACAGCCATCGGGGTGATTGTTAGAAAGGCAGAGTTGGGCTGCCCCAGATCCGCTGACTGAGGATCTGCGTTTTCACAAGAGCCCCCGGGGTTCATCTGCACACTGAAGACTGAGAAGAACGGTCAAAATGACCTAGACAATCAATTTTAATAATTAAAATTATTCGGGGCGCCCAGTGGCTCAGGTGGTTAAGCATCCAACCCTTGAATTCGACTTGGGTCACCATCTCATGGTTGGTGAGTTTGAGCCCCTCATCAGGCTCTGCACTGACAGCATGGAGCCTGCTTGGGATTTGCTCTCTCCCTCTCTCTCTGCCTCTCCCCTACTATATAAATAAATAAACTTAAAAAAAAATTATTCATTTTAATACCAGTCACCAAAAACAGGGGTACTTTAAACCTGGAACTGGTACTATAGGTATAATCTTAGGATTGGTCTTAGTTTGGAATGTTCAAGCCTATACATACCTATGAATTTGAAGTTCTGGCACGGAAAAGCAAAAGAAAAATACAGCACGAGGTTAATCTGGGTATAGTTATATCTTAAAAAGATGACCTCTCCTAATCTCAGCATTATTAGGAAAGCTGTCTGACACGCATGCTTGTTTGAACAATCCAAAAAGAAGTCTACTCATTTGATTCAGTCTTAAAAAAATCTAAGTGCTTACCTTCTGCTCCTGGGAACCCACTATCTCCAGGAGGTCCAGGTTCCCCGGGTTTCCCCTTTAGGGAAATTACAGCCATCTCTCCTTCATCTCCTGGGGGTCCCCTTGCTCCTTGAGATATTAATGATGCAAGAGAAGACAAACAGAAGGACCACACATGTGATTCTTCTGTTACAGCATTTTACGTCCGGTTTGCAAATCCACATTTCAGTTACTAAACCGCACTTATGTTTACAGCTTGCACGATGTCCATACCATCAACTTATTTTTCTAAAGGAAGGGCCGTGCCTTTTACATTTCTCTCCCAACTTGTCCGGCAACAGGGTCTGGTGTACAGGGAGTGATCAGTGAATGTGTGCTAAATACAACCAAATGGGTCTCGGAGGTTTAAGTGTCAAAAGACAGGCTTGAAAAGTCCCAGATCTAAAATATGTCTGTTTACCCTGTTAAACGTGAATTTCCCATTGCATATTTTTCAGTTCCCCATCCTCTCCTTCCTGGCCACACTCTATTATTTTCCTTACACTAAAAGAACACTTATTTCAACTTGCTGCTCCACACAGAGAATTCTGAAAGGTAGGAAAAATGGATGATGCTTCCATCTGATTTTTGTAAACACTGTCCAGTTGGAGAAGTGTGTTCAAGTGGGCTCATCCCAGCAAGGTGAAAGCCAATTATTAACAATACAAGAATTTTGTAAGCCAGTTGTTAAACCGTTGGCAGCTTTAAAAAAAAAAAAAAAAAAAAAAAAAAAAAGAGCCATCGTGGGAATATTTACACCATGGGAGCAAACACAAATCAGGGCATTTAAAAAATTTACTTATTTATTTAAATTCCAGTTAGTTAAAACACAGTGTAATATTACTTTCTTAATTTTTGTTTTTTATTTTGGAGACCATAGTAGCATAGCAAATATCACTCAGTCTACGCTAGCAAAGAGTGACTGTGATTCCTTGATTCTATGTAATAAATTTACAGGCTAGTAAAACAAAAACATAATAGTAGAATCAATCAACTAAGAAGTAAAAGTAATTAGAAGGTGGCATCTGGGTGGTTCAGTCGGTTAAGCGTCTGAGTCTTGATTTTGGCTCAGGTCATGATCTCACCGTTTGTGGGATCGAGCCCCTCGTCAGGCTCCATACTGATAGTGCAGAGCCTCCTTGAAATGTTCTCTCTCCCTCTCTTTTTCTCTCTGCCCCTCCCCCTCTTGTTCTCTCTCTGTTTCTCTCAAAATAAATAAATAAACTAAAAAAAAAAAGAAGTAAAAGCTATTTGAATTTTATAGGAGGCTATTTACCCCAAAAGCTTTAAGGACAAAAAACGTGTTTCTCAAAATTGTCAAGCATTAATTCTCAACCTGGAAATGAAACGTTACCTTCACTCACTGCAGCCTCATGACTAATTGGTAAAAGTAAATATTTAACAGGGACGGACACAAAACATTTAAACCAGTGGTCTTGCAATTTTTATTTTTTAATAGCAATGACAACTCCTTCTTTAAATGAAGCTTGGGGGAGGCATAACTCACAGCTCAGATGAAAATGGACTTCTTACAGTTCAGAGGTCTGAAAATTACAACTGGAGAGCCAAATCTCACTTGCAGGCTGTTTATGTATAATCTGTGAGCTATGAATGATTTTTACACTTCTAAACTGTTAGGGGGAAAAAGCAAAACGAGAATAATATTTTATGACATGTGACAATTAAATGAAGTTCAAATTCAGTGTCCATGAACCAAATTTGATTGGAACATAGTTTTACAGTGTTTAATTGTGTCTCTGCTGCGTCATGCTGCCAAAGCTGACCTGAAATGGTTTCAACAGAGACCATAACTGCAACGCCTTAAAATCTTTACTACTCTTTATTAAAAAAAAAAAAAAAAATATGTTTTCGTTCGAAAGAAAGAAAGAAAGAAAGAGGGGTGCCTGGGTGGCTCAGTCAGTTGAGCATCCGACTTCGTCAGGCTGATCTTGATGGTTCATGAGTTTGAGCCCCAGCTGCTGCGCTTCGTGTGCAGCTCAGCCTGGAGCCTTCTCGTTCTTCCAGATTCATGTCCCCTCTCTCTCTCCCGGCCTACCTGCTTGGTCCTGTCTCTCTCTCTGTCTTTCAAAAATGAATAAACATAAAAAAAATTTTTTTTTTTAAAAATAAAGAAAGAGAAAGAAAGAAAAAAGAAAGAGGAAAGAAAGAAAGAAAGAAAGAGAAAGAAAGAGAAAGAAAGAAAGAAAAAGAAAGAAAAAAGAAAGGAAGGAAGGAAGAGAAAGAAAAAGAAAGAAAGAAAGAAAGAAAGAAAGAAAGAAAGAAAGAAAGAAAAGAAAAGAAAAAGAAGGAAGGAAGGAAGGAAGGAAGGAAGGAAGGAAGGAAGGAAGAAAAATTGAAACGGGTTGGGGGCCAGGGGCCCTACCTGTACTCCCTCCCAATAGGTGAGAAGGTTCTCTCAAACTCAATAGCTATAAATCAAAGCATCTGTTATTCTTTTTTTCCCATTAATAGAGCAATTCATTTATCAGCTATATGCGACATGATAGAGAGGTAAGGAAAATGAAGTGGTTTAAAATTCTAAAACAAACACCTGCAATCTAAAAGGAAGAGGAATCCAAGCTTCAGGATAGTCCCGTTTCTTTTTCCTTTTTTTTAAATTGTTTTAAATGTTTACTTATTTTGAGAGAGAAAACGAGAGAGAGAGCACACGTGTGGTGGGGGGTGGGGTGGCAAGAGAGAGGGAGAGACAGAATGCCAAGCAGGTTCCTTGTGGTCAGCGTAGAGCCCGACTCAAGGCTCGAACTCATGAACTGAAATCAAGAGTCAGACACTCAACCAACTGGGCCACCCAGGCATCCCAAGTCCCATTTATTTTTCAAAGACCGTATTTACCCATTCTGATCAAACACCAGACACAAGACATGTTGCATCATCATCGTGCTGTTAACCGCATTTACCTTTGGCGCCTTTCACCCCCTTGTCTCCGAGGAAGCCAGGCCGACCCCTCTCTCCTGGTTCCCCTTTACGGCCAGGGTGCCCCTCCAGGCCAGGCTTTCCTCTCTCCCCTGGAAAACCTGGGAAGCCAGGCAGCCCCTGGGATCCTGATGAAATGAGAACATGAATTTTTAGAAAAGCCATTTTAAAAGCTACTTTGCGGGGCGCCTGGGTGGTGCAGTCGGTTAAAGCGTCCGACTTCAGCCAGGTCACGATCTCGCGGTCCATGAGTTCGAGCCCCGCGTCAGGCTCTGGGCTGATGGCTCAGAGCCTGGAGCCTGTTTCCGATTCTGTGTCTCCCTCTCTCTCTGCCCCTCCCCCATTCATGCTCTGTCTCTCTCTCTGTCCCAAAAATAAATAAACGTTGAAAAAAAAAATTAAAAAAAAAAAATAAAAGCTACTTTGCTTCCTAGATGCGTGGGGCTTGCTGTCAGCGTGGAGGTGTGCCCGCCCGCGTACCTCAGCTTGTCCTGAAGGTGAACCACCGCCGTCAGCCTCACGGCGTGTGATGGCCGTGCTCGCCTACTCAGCTTTCCGCCCCACAGAGCTGAAGTGAAGCCTTTATGTCTTCTGAGCCCTGACCCCACAATGCTTTAAGGGGACCAGGAGCCAGGGACACGGGGCTGGAGGGTGGGGGCTCATCCAAAACAGAAGTACATTGGCTCTGACCCTACACCTTATCGGCTCTACCCTGTCTGTCGAGCAGAAGTGTTTACGGGTTCTGCGGACCTAACACCCCCACCCACCTTCTCCCATCTACCTACCTCTTTACTTAGCAGTGGACTTGAGGTTTATAAAAAGGGAGAAATAATGGAAAAGCACTACCCACCCTTTGGGCCTGGAAGACCAGGCAGTCCATCATCGCCTATGGGGCCTGGGAGCCCTGGGGGTCCGGGGGGTCCATCTACCCCTGGCCGTCCTGGGACTCCAGGGAGACCCTTCATTCCAGCCGGACCAGGAGGCCCCACATCCCCTCGCTGTCCTTTCCAACCTGGGGCACCTGAGACAAACCACAATGACAATAACATATGAAGACTGAAGACTGGCTTCACACACGGGGCAGGAAAGAAAAGAATTCATGATAACTTAAATTGTGTCTCTGTGCCTATGAAACACTGGTTATCGGCTCAAATCACAATGGCAAGCCTCCATCAGCCTAAGAACCTATTTCTCTGGCTGCTAGAAAAAGAAAGGCAGGTGACTTGAAAAACCACCTCCCAGTAGAGAGACACGAGTACTATGAAGGGCATTTGAAAAATGGAAAATGGATAAGGATGAAGAACGAAATTATTATTATTAGCATTTACTCTTGAGACGAACAGAAGAAAACTTTCCAGGTGTTTCCTGAAGCTATGGCCGAGTGAACTTTGGTCGTGTTCACCACAGAGGATTATAGAAGTCACAGCAATGTCATCTAGGAGTATGGGTGCCAAGAGGAAAGCCAGGGTGGCAGGGATGGCCCCAACCTCGCTTTGATGCACTGAGAGGGCGGATCCCTACATCTGGATGAATCCAACAGGATTTGCACAACAGGTGACAAAGCACATGGTGAAGTGGAGATCACACTGGAAATAGCCCTCCAGCACCTTGTGTTGAAAGATGCCTCTTCCTGGGTCTCCCCAGCCCCTACAACAGAACTGGCTGTTCTGCAGGCTGCTAGAAAGCACCAGTTCCCCAGGCACAGCGCTCCTCTCGGATGCTGCACCCCACTGCATGTGTAACACCCATCTAACCCCGCTTCTGTTGCCCCCATGACACTAGGGGGACAAGGGGAAATGACACGAGCCACCAGGAAGCTCATGCTACTTGCCGTTCTGTGAATAGTACAGTCCTTGGTCTCTGCCCTAAGAGTCTTGGTTCTGTCCTTCGGTAAAAAAGCAGCAGGCGATCCTATTCCTTGGTGAGAAGAGTCAAGCTGCAGACCCTACAGAGGTCTTGACATGTGCCGACACTTACCTGGACTGCCTGGAGCCCCGGGGAGTCCGGGTTGCCCTGGTGTTCCTGGGGCGCCTCTTTCACAGGAATGGCCAGGTAGACCTGGGATCCCTGGAAACCCAGCACTTCCCTCTCTGCCTCTGGGGCCTTTGAGACCTGGGAATCCTGGCAAACCAGCCGGCCCTGAAATGATACAACGCACTCCTGACCCTCCGGGCACAAAACTGTATAGAGTCAGCCTGCAACAAAAGGTTCACGCATATCGATCCCAGAAATAAAGGTTTTGATCCTGGCTCAGTGCTCACAGGAGTTAAGTCTCGCACAGGATTTTCTTATCATAGATGGTAGCGAGCTCCAAATGAATGGGAAAACCACGCATTACTCAGAGAGTTCCTTGATAAGGTTGTGTAGACAACAAAAAAGCTGCTTATGCAAATTTAAAAACTACACAGTTCTTCCTGATTCTAATTAACCTCTAACATGGTGGCGGGCTTCACACCAAATCGCCACAACGCTTGCCCACCCAGTTTGCACTGTATGGACGTGCTTTTTGTAAGCTATTTCGTCACTTGAACTCTTAAATTTCTACTGACTGGAGAGGCAGTGTCATAATTTTCAGAAAAAAAAAAAAAAATCCCCCATCATTCCAAGCCCTAACCTAAATTTTGTTTTATTTTTCCCAGTTTTCATCATACTTTTGTTCATATGTTTATATTTTTAAGGTAGTGATCACAGTACACACTCGATTGTTGGATTATTTCACATTGCATATGAATCTGCAAATTTCTTCTATTTTGTTATAATCTTTATAAATATAATTTTAATTGCTAATAGCTGAATCGTGTTCCTTTGAGAGACTGCGAGTGTGTGTGTGTGTGTATTACTTAACTCTATTGTTTCCATCCTCTAATGTGGATGATATAAGAGTATTTTTTTTATGTTTATGTATTTATTTTGAGAGAGAGAGAGAGAGAGA